GCTGAGAACAGAATATACACCTTGCAAAATAAATAAAACGTATTTCTTTAGATCTCTGCATCAATTTAATCACCTTTCACGTTGCAGAATAGGCTATTAAACAAAGACAGAGAAATAGATTTTAACAGCTGTTCAATAAATGATCTTTTATTATCTGAACAAATAAGGTAAATTACATTGTATCAATATGTCATGAATACAGTTTTAAATAAACCTTAAATATGCTTTCGAATTGTATTATAATATTATTACTATTGCTAATAAATAGAATAAGCTGCTTGTGGAGGAGGCTAAATTAAATCTTGATGCGCATTTTAAAGGATGTTTGAGGGCTTTTATTTTGTAGTGATAAACATGTAATTAGTGCCGACATTACCTGTATAAAAGCGCAACATAAAGAAGTTCCTAAATAAACATTTTAGGAGGATTACGGGAGCCGAATCTCCGCGGAAGGTGCCAAAACCGCGATAAGTTTTAAAGAGGAAACAAACGGTTGTTAAAAAAATAAATAAATTTAAAAAAAGTAGTTTTTATTTACAGGTGGCCCTGACGTCACACGGGGTCGCAGCACGCCCAAAAATAACAACACACACCTCCGCGCGCAAGTAAAGAAGTGCCTCCCCTGGGGGCGGTGGGGGGTGGAGGACGATGGTTGGAGGTGGTGGGGGTCTCTAGCTCCAAATGTACTTGCTTSCTGGGATGCGGCGTGATGTTTGAGTCGTAACGAAGGAGGAAAAAAAAAAAAAACAAGGCGCTTCTTCTTCGCGTCATTCAAACAGGACTGCTTTTCTCTCTGTTGCTTTAGTTAATAACAGCGGCGTTTGACGAGAGCCAGCAGGACGAGAGGCGGTGTGTGTGTCTGCCGACAGCACAGGAATATTTAACCTTTTTTATATATATATTTTTTTCTTTAATGAAGTAATATTTACTCCGCTTGTTGTCGCCTTACCTCTGCGCCATGGTGAACTTCTCCTCGGACGGTCACGTGCGAAGGTCTCCGCGAGCATAGAGAGAGAGAGAGAGGACGTCTCACCTGGTGTGTCCCCTTTGACTTTACCGGGAGGGAAATAAAAACAAACCAGCCTTTTTGTGTGTGTTTGTGGGTAAGTTTTGCTTTTAAATAACCTGCCTTGAAGTTTTATTTTCTTTTCTGTTTACAAGTTCGCCTCGTCCGTGTCATTTCTAGTGTTTTGTTCCGTCCTCGTGCTGTTTATTTACACTTAGCGCGTGGACTTTATGTGCYTTTAATTACCGCCCAACTGTTTCCTAAAGCTCACTGCTTTCATAATTAGACTGTTTTTAAATAACCACCTCTTCTTTAAAGTTTAAATGAACGGTTTTTTTTGTGTAAAATGCAAAAAAAAAAAGTTTTTGGAAATTATTTTTTTGATTCAAGATGCACTGCAAAATAAGTTTTATAGTTTATAGTAGCGTTTTTGCACACTTATTTATATTTTCACCACACCATTCTAACAC